AGGATGGGAGAGAGGGAGAGGATGGGAGGGAGTGAGGGGAGAGAGAGAGGATAGAAAGAGGAGGGAGAGAGAGAGAAAGTGGGGAGAAAGAGTTCGTGAGGGGTAGATTAAATGGGGAGAGTCGAGGGAGGGGAGAAGAGAAAGTGAATGGGGAGTGAGTATGGGTATAGAGAGAGAGAGTGGGTGAAAGAGTGAGGGAGAGAGAAGGCTTCAAAAGAGGCTAGGGAGATAAAGGGGATGGAAGAGTTGAAAGAGGGGGGATAGAGTGAATGGGATAGTGATTAAACTGAAAAACTAAAGGTTCAAGTGAGTGTTTCTGATCAAAATTTGTCCGTTGTATGTCGTTGTCATCATAAACGTTTCACATAGGCATCTTTATGTAAAGGGTATTCAAGTTTATTCAAATGAACGGCCACGCACTCTTTCAAGGTGAGATAAATCAGAAATAGTGAAACTTTAGTGGCATCTTTTAAAAATCTTCTTCTCAAGAACCACTGGGCTAAAAAATTTCAAACTTATAAGAAACCTTTACATAGTAAAGATTCAAGTTTGTTCGAATGAAAATGTCCAGGGGTAGGATGGGGCCACAATGTGGGATCAAAGTTTTTATGGGAATATATAGGGAAAAAAATCTTTAAAAATATTCTCAAGAATAGCAAAGCCAGGATTAGTCATCTTGATATGGAAACATCCTCAGGTAGAATAGATTCAATTTTGTTAAAATGATGACCTCTGGGGAGGATGGTGCCACAATGGGGGATTATCATGGCAAAGCCATGATAAGTAATGTTGATATGGAAGCATCCCTAGGTAGTGTAGATTCAAGTTTGTTCAAATGATAACCCTCGGGGGTAAGGTGGGACCACAATGGGGGATCAAAGATTTGCATAGGAATATATAGAGAAAATATAAAAAAAAATCTTCTCAAGAATAGAAAAGCCATGTTTAGTCATATTAATATGGAAGCATCCCCAGGTCTTGTAGATTCAAGTTTAATTAAGGATTTTTTGATTTTTTCCGCGCAGTATTCCTATGTAAAACTCTGATCGCTCATTATGGCCCCACCCTACCCTACTCACTCTAAATTTGAACAAATTTGAATCACTACCTGAGGATTCTTTAATGATATGACTAATCATGGCTTTGCTGTTCTTGAGCAGAAAATTTTTTTCAGGAGGATTCCTATATATTCTTATGTAGAACTTTGACCCTCTGTCGTGCCCCAACCCCTGGGGGTGGGAGGTGGGGTGGGGATGGGGTGATGGTTTGTACAATTGATTCTACAATACCTAAGTGTAAATATGACTAATGATGGCTTAGTTGTTGCTGAGAAAAAAAAGATATTGCCTATGTAACGTGTATGATCAGATTCTTACAAGGGATATATAGGTTTTCCTTTATCCTGTCTGAATTAATGATTGGAATGGTTATTAAGACAGCTCTGTCTGAGGGTATATCACACAGTACTTAAATTTTCTCTTATCTAGAGACGGTGACTAGGTATGGTTCTTGCACCGTGTTTCTCCCCAATGTTCCCATTGATAGATAAGAACCTGATGTCTCAATCTTCTTCAGTTTTACTACACCCAGAACAACATCAATTCACTAGGATACTTGCCACTGGTTTTTATAACTTCTATACATGTACTTTTATCTTTCTCTTATCCTTAAGGTTTTCCATTCTCTATCCTTACATGTCCATCACATACATAATACTCTGATATTAATTTAAAGCATTGTACAGTCGAAAAGGATTTACCAAGAGAAAGTTTCAAAAATGTAATTAACTAAGCAGTAATTAATCAACAAATATTGCATTGAAATCTATGGGGACAACCGTTTTTTTATTAAATAAAACTTCAAATACATGTAATAAGAATATCAATGAATATTGTGGTTGAAAGATTCATTGAAACACATTTCTTTAGAAATAGAATGGCAATTGAAAACGATTTTTTTTTACCAGATAAGTTTTTTTTTAATTGATTTTTTTTATGGATTAAAAACAGAGGGAGATAAATCTTACTAAAATTCACGGTCATTTATTAGGACACATCCCACCCTTATACGATATTAGTAATAAATGGGAATTGTGTCTAAATATACTGAGTATTCAACTTCTACACATCTGTTATGTATTCAATTTCATTGAATCTGTTGCTATTAGGGATGGAATACTTTTTTAATTGCAGATTCATATCCAACTTCTTTAGCTAGCTTCTGAATGCCTGACTTTCCTGAAGTTTTGCCTTATAAATATCCTTTGGCTAGTCCATTTCAAGGGTTGTCGAGTCATTCCACTATTTGGAGTCTTCAATGCGTTTTAATTAAATGCCCCTTAACCATTACACCTATATATTCCTATGCAAAACTTTGACCTACTGTTGTTGTCCCGCCCTACCCCCAGGGGTCATGATTTGAACAAAATCTTCACTACCTGAGGGTACTTTTGTATTAATATGACTAATATTGGCTAAGCTGTTCTTGAGAAGAAGATTATTAAAGGTATTTCCTTTATATTCCTATTGTAAATTTTGACCCCCTGTTATGGCCCTGCCCTACCCCTAGGTGTCATGATTGGAATAAACTTGAATCTAAACTACCTGAGGATACTTCTGTTATAATATGACTAATAATAGCTTTGCTGTTCTCGAGAAGAAGATTTTAAAAGATATTTCCTATATATTCCTACGTAAAACTTCGACCCCCTACTGTGGGGTTATGATATGAACAAACTTGAATCTAGAGTGTGTGATGAAGCTTTCACGTAAGTTTAATCTTTTCTTGCCCTGTGGTTCTTGAGAAGAAGATTTTTAAAAGATGCCACCAAAATTTCACGAATTTTTAATTATCTGTCCTTGAAAGAGGGAGTGGCACTTTCTGTGGACAATCTTAAATTCCCTTTACACAAGGATGCTTTGTGGCAAGTTGGTTGAAATTGGTCCAGTGGTTCTCGAGAAGAAGTCGAAAATGTTTACAGACGACAGATGGATGCCAGACACTCTTTGATCAGAAAAGCACATTTGAGTGTTTGGCTCAGATGAGCTAAACATCTTTTGTTCAAGAACAGCAAAGCCATTAGTTATACTGATATGGAAGCATCCTCAGGTAGAGTAAAATTCAAGTTTGCCAACCAAGCAACTCCCTCCCCCATGTAAACTTTTCAATACTGATTAGCAAATGTGCTCAGGTGAGCTATTTAGCCCATGGGCATCTTGTTTATGTATATGTATCTCTTTCTTACACCAGTTAATAAAATGTTCTTGATTTTTTTTAGATGATTACAACTGTGGAAACGTATTTTATTTAATGCGATAAAACAAATCAAAGAAAGTGCGTATTCCTGCTCTTAGAGTCAAAGAGCATAATTATAGCCTTGTTATGTTGGGATATCTTGTATTATTGATTTAAAATATAGTGTAACCTTTTAATTTTGTTATTTAAACTTTAAAAGTTGTTAGAAATGAACACTTCATACCATAAGGCTGCGTGATTTAACCCCAATGCATTTGCCTAACAAAAATTTTCCTACCAAAACCATCCAGTTTCTTTTTGTACAAAAAATGACACAGGGTCATTATTCTGCTGGCTCATTTTTCTACAATCCGCACGGAGAAAAATGACCCAAACCATAATTTTTACGAAAAAGTGTGTCATTTTTCTACGTAGAATATTGACCAGGGGATCAAATTTCTACGTAGAAAAATGATCCCCGATCAGTAGTCTACGGGGTTCACTTTTCGTCGTTACACCGGGCACTTGGCGAAGGAACAGTCACTACCTACGTTTATGTCTAGGTTTGACTGGGCGCGGCGTACGAGAATCGAACTCGGGCCTCCCGATCACAAAGCGCACGCCCTACCACTAGCCTACCACCGGTCAATGACCATCGAACGCAAATTTTAGATGGTCGAGCGCTTTTGCGCACTCTCCCAGCACTGCTAGCAAACAAGTTCCGCAATTCTTGAGTTTAACCCAAGACCAAGATCGGCTTATTTTCAAAACCCAGCTTAATTTCAAATCTCGAAATGAAAATGTACAATGTGATTACAATATATATATATATATATATATATATATATATATATATATATATATATATATATATATATATATATATATATATATATATATATATATATATATATATGATCTACATTTAATAGACCTTTAAGTCAGACATACAGAACAAACATACAAAGGATATGAATGAAATTTTTGTCATTTTAAGACACTAAATAGATGTTCGATCCATATATACCATTGTTTTTTTTTTCATCTCAGCTTTCGTGATTGATCTTCAATACAATGAACTTCTTCTGGAAGAGAACTGTTAGACTTTATCAGGCATTTTAAAAGAAATATTGATATCTCGTGTTAATCTTCGCCTAAAGTTGTTATACAGTGTACGTTGGATATTGATTGTAAAAGGCAACAAAGAAATTAAAAGGCACTTGAAAATGATCGGTCAATATTAGGTCTGATAATACAGATTTTTGTAGAGCACTTGGTCGTGAGTTTCCCCTCTCATGTATCGAATTAAATCAATAGCAGGTTTTCTTCCTCGAAGCATGGTCCACATATATATGTAATCACATAAGCTTGGGCTAATGTTTAACTCTCAAATAATCGCAAACATATCCTTAACAAATATCCCTTGCACGTCACTTTTGGGGCCCTCCAAAGGACTGAGTCAAATCAATACCCTAAAATGGCATCTTCATTCCGAGTTTTACTTCTTATTCCTACAAATACATGTATATTGAATTAGTTGATTTTGACACTGGTGGTATCTATTAACTACGTACATATTTTCTCTTACAAACCAAACAGACCTTAAAAGATCCTCACACAGATATCAGAGACGTAATATTGATTTGAAGGACGGAAGGTCCATTTTCAACATTTCCGATATAGCTCACTTATAATGACAGGTACCCCAAAAGGTGTTAGGATTTCTTCACTTTCAATATTTTGTCAGCTCGATTGCAAATCTTATCATGGCGTCGCTTTCAGTCATGGATAAGCAAGCCTCGCACACGCTGCAGCCTCCCTCTGTAAAGTCGTCAGTATCTTCCACTGGTGTTGTGAAGACATCACATAGCACAACATCTTCCGCTGGTGCTGGAAAATATGTGCAATCATCGCCAAGCGGATCCCCTTCGCTGAGGCAAAAAATAACCAATACTGCAGCGAATAATATGGCAGTTAAACCCATTCCAATTTTATCAATTTCGTCGTTTTATGAGTTATCAGCCTACATGCCGAATGGAAGAATGGATCATTTCGAAAAGTACCATGGAAAAGTATCTCTTGTCGTCAATATGGCTTCTTGTGATAAAAATACTAAGCAAGAACTTATACAGGTAACCTTGCTAGCTTTTTTCTAATTATTATGGTTTAATTTTTAGTTTCAAAGTATACTTAGCATTTTTTTTTCTATATCTGTTAAATGTACATGTATAAATGATAAGTTCATAGAAATCTACTTGTAAATAAGTACCACTGTAAATACCATGTGAATGATTTGTCATATTTAATTCAGATAACAAGAATTCCTTTATTTTTCAGTTGAATGACTTTGCCACAACATATGGACCAAAAGGGCTTGTCGTTATGGCTTTTCCCTGCAATCAGTTTGGTAAATTGGAACCTTTAGATAACGATGAAATTCCTTTGTTTTTACAAAACGTGCGACCTGGGTCAAAGTTTGAACCAAAATTTACAATTTATTTCAAAATTGATATTAATGGAAGTCACTCGCATCCAGTGTTTGAATATCTTAAGGTAAAACAGCCATTACCACAGGATGATGACGGCCAAATCGTGCGAGAATTAAGCGAGATCAGTTGGCAACCTGTGTGCAGGAGTGATGTCAGTTGGAATTATGAGAAATTTCTAGTGTCGCATGATGGACAACCTATTAAAAGATACAATCATAAGACTGCAACGGAAATCATAAAGAGAGATCTTGAATCAGCCTTGAGACGCATTCCAAAGGCTACCAGGGAGGCACTTCAGTTGCACCACTAAAAAATAATAATTTTAATTAATAATGTTAAATTTTTTCAATTTGATTCCATTCTTCAATTTCCGTGGAAGTTTAATTTTTCAGTATTCATTCACTCAAGGAAATTCTTGCTTTCTTTAAACAAAACACGATTAAGTTTTTAGCATTTTCTCTCATGACATCTATTTACATTAATTTTGCATTAAATAATTTATAATTTTAAAATTGAAAATTGCAGAAATATTTATAGTTTAAATTAGTCTTTCTTTCAAATTGATAACAAAAAAAAAAAAAGAAAAAAGAATGGAATGCCATCACTGTTAACCTATAAAATGTAATTAAAGTGAAAATGTTAAGAGGAGATAAAATGATTGCTCACTGTCTCCATGCAGCGAATGCTCTAACTTTAAGTAGGCACTAACAATGTCCTTAGACCTGTCAGTCGTACACTCATAAATATAGATTAAAGATTTCTAAAAGTCTTAAGAAACTTGCTTGGATAAATGAAGAATAATTAGAAAAAATGCTTTTGTAATGAGAGAGAGAGAGTACTGGTTTATCAAAATAGGAGAGAGAGAGAGAGAGAGAGAGAGAGAGAGAGAGAGAGAGAGAGAGAGAGAGAGAGTACTGGTCATTAGAAGAGAGAGAGGGAGAGAGAGAGGTTTATTAAAATAGAAGAGAGAGAACAGTAATAATGGAGTAAAATACGTAAAAAGTTTACGTAGCATTCATTTAATTAAGCAGTGAATTAATAGTTTCTCCATATTTAACCTTAAATATATAAATTCATATCTGACTACTACTGCCACTCAGAACTTCAAATGTTTCCTTGTAATTTCAGTTTCTCAAAGATTTTCTACTTGAAGTCTATGTATGATCATTAGTGTGAAATACAGTTTCCATTGATCAGGTTTGTTCACTGCCCTACATAATTTTTTAAGGACGCTTTTACTTTAAGAGGTGTCAATCTAAATTAAGAGTATTTCACTTTTAGTGCAAGACAACTTTCATTAACACTACATTCAGACTAGGAGTTGTTATTTTAAGTTGTAACAGTTGATTTCTTTAGGAGTTAATATCACCAAAAAATCATTGTGGCGTCATGTCCATTGAACATAAATAAACATAAACAATTTGCAATATTGACATACTTAGCAGGTTAACGACTGAGGAATGCAAATATTTATTAGAATCCCTTTATCAATAAGTGTTCCAATACAGGTGATCTATAAAGAAGACACGATCTTTGACTCTTATCGCTTTTATTTATGATGCAAATTATAAGGAACCCCTAGTGTGTTGGAGTTAAAATCTTTTAAACCAAATACCTTCCACTCTGATAATACAGATTTTTAAAATTATCTTATGCTTGAATTAAATAAACACCAAAAGTTTTATACAGTGCACCACTTTAATTTCTTCAATTTGTTATTGCGTCAAAGTGATAGAATTTATTTTTGCTATTTCTTTTTTTGAAAAGGCATTATAATGAATATGATCCAGTTTAAGAATGCAATATTTGATGTATTTAAGTGAAATAGAATATTAATTTTATTTTGACTGATGGAAAATTTTTCTTTGTAACATGATATATGAGAATATTTTGAACGCCTACTTCAAATCGTTACCTTTTTCAAGATGTTTATATGATTAAAATTTTTTAAGCATTATCCATCATTTGTGTTTATTTGTTTCTTTTATTTGAAATATTTTTTATACACAACATATATTTTATTGAATAAATATATACTATGGAACAGGGGACAAGTTCTTAAAACTTAATTTGCCTTCTTGCTACATGAAACAACAAAATTTAAATCAATATTTTTCTCCATTTCTTATTCTGATATTACTCTATTTCCTAATCATTTTCCTTTATTTCCTCATTTTCTCAATAAAAATGTCTCTTGATTTAGATATTGCATTTATAAAGTATCTGCAAGGGTGAAGTTGCCTTACATACACCGTCTCGGTAGGTTTGTACAATTTTATACAAACGAAAGTACAAGTAACCATTGAGAGAGAGAGAGAGAGAGAGAGAGAGAGAGCACTAATTGCCATTCTAAATATAAGAAACTGAGATAAATAGGTTATTTTAGTACAATTTAATGTAATCATAGTTTCATTAATTCATAAGATATTGCTTTATTGTAACAATCTTCATTGAATCACAAATTTCCTAAATGTGATAATGGCCAATGCATAATTACTTTTATTTAAGTAAAATCCATCTATCCAGAAGTTTATTCTGCACACTGTTTTGACCAATTTTTGATTGCTGCAAGGAGAAAGAATTCAATCTCACTAATTTGCTTCGAAAAAAAAAATATTAGCTTTATTTTGACCTCTGCTAAAAAATTTAAATACATATACTTTGAGTATTTTAGATAATTTTAAATTTCTACCTTCAACACAAAGCGTTATTTCTTTTTTCAAGAAATCAGATATTTAGAAATGGTTGATCTTTAACTATTATTTTGTACGCATTTTTAAAGTTTGTTTTTATTAAATTTTCTTTCTTTATTTTTTCCCCTAGATGTTTGCACTTCCGACTGTCGAATAAAATATGCTAAAGGTAAAATGTAAGGGTAAGAATACAAAATAAGAAAATTACAAATGCATCAGTAACCACTGAGAGACAGAGAGAGAGAGAACCTTACTCTACATTAAAAATTTTGAACAATAGGGAATAATTATAATAGTTATGATAGGTTATTTTAGTACCTTATTGTTATTGTATTGTAATTTTGGTTTTATTTCCTCATAAAATTTTATTCTAATTTGAACAAAGCCTTATTTGCATCATAAATTACACAATTTCGTATATACATATTTTACCAGCATGTCTATGTACTAACCTGTTTGTAGACGAAAAGGTAAAACATTCCCCAGCTTTCAGTATTACAGGGTCTTTGATATGAGAATTAAAAAAAAATACTTTAAAATTGCTAAGAATATTTTTTTTACCTTAGGTGAATGCTTATAATCCACATTCATTGAAAAATTTTAATACATATAAGAGAGAGAAAATGAAAGAAAGATGCGAGAGATGTTATGTAAGTTATAAGCATTATTGCATTGTTACAATCATTGCTGTTTTTGAGGTCAATACGACGATTAGGCCACTTAAGGAGTACAATATTCACCGAGCCCGAACGGATAAACAGTGTTATATCAACATAACCAGTTGTTTCGATTTGGAAGTTCTAAATCTAGTTTAGGTGCGATGTACAAAAAATAAATGCCAGGCTCGATTTTGAAAAGGGTGCATTGTAAGGAAAAAAAATGACCACTGAAAAAATCTTTGACTACCTCCTCCTTAAGAAATGAGGAAAATTCTCAAAACTCCAAATTTTATTTTGGGAGGAGGTGTTAGGGTTCATAAAGGGGGGGGGGTACCAGCCTTTCAGTTAACATTTTCATACGAAATTAACAGTAAAAGTTTACATACAGAAAAAAAAAAATTGGGAGGGAAGACCCTTGCACCCCATCCCGATTCTATGTGCCTGAATATGTTCACCTTAGTGGAAATCGGATGCAAGTAAAATAACTTTCCAGAACTAAAATATTTGTACTAAATTTCGAAGTTCAAAATCTATTTTAGCGCAATGTAGAAAAAAAATTCTTTATGTTCACCTTAAATGTCACCCGGAGGTGAACATACCTTAGTATTTTACTAACAATGTTGGATCTCAACCAATTAGGAATCTAGGAAATATTCAATCATATAATAATATAAAATAAAAAAAACTAATCCAATGATTTATTTTATTTACGGTAATTCAGTTTATTATCATTGATTATCACCTGCTTCTTGGGTAGATGAAACATAAAATGTTGATATCAATCAATGTATTAATCCATTCCTACAGAAAGTTATTACAGGTTTTGATATATTGTACTATTTATACCTAAGACCAAAGCTCCAGTATATATAATTATGAAATGTATTGAATGTATATACATTCTGAATTTGTAGCACTGACCATATTCAATTATCTTATCTCTATGGGTATGAAACAGGCTTGGGCTAATACTAACTGTAATGGTAGTGCATTGCAACGCATTACTTGAACTCGAAGTAATGCTAGTAATGTGTAATGCCAAAAAAATTGCATTACATGTAATGGTAGTGTAATGCATTACTTTCTCAAATCCAGAGTAATGCTGGCATTACATAGCATTACAAAGCATTATTTTATAGGTACCTATTTTAAAAAAAATGAAAATGGATATGGAAATTATTGTTTAGGTTATTTTTTTTATATGAATGAAAAAAATGAATGAAAAAATTGACCTATTTAAATAAAATCTCTGTTTCTATTTAAATATACTTTTATTCTATTGAAAGTACTATTACCATACAATCAAATTTTCACACTTATTTTAGATAAAATTTGATTTCAAAGATTTATTAAAAGTATATTTTTTAAAATCTTTCTGAAAATTATTCCGGTATGAGGTACACTAATTAATGTACACTGTAAACTGATAATTGCCACATTTTGAATAGCTAGAATGTCATAGAATCACACTATGCCTCAGGTTATGTAACAATTAAGACAATGCGTCGTTTTGAGAAGGGCTCCAAATTACCGGTCCCTTTCTCCTGACTGCGTTTATAAAACATCAGTTGGGCTGGCCTAGCTTGATCTGACCATCACAAATCCATTTTACCAAAAGGAATTAAAGACATGCAGATATTCCACCCTTAGCGGAGTAAAATATACATACTGTCCAACCCTTTCTACAAGTTGTCAAATGCTTTATTATAAGATAGTTTGGGCAGGGTTAAAATCCCCCCCCCCCCCCCCCCCGAAAGTAAAACTGCTCTATGACATCAATAGTTACTCAAAAAGTGCATATTGTATATATGTTTTTATCTTACTAACAATTGAAAAGTTTGAACTTCCTATGAATAATAAAAAGATATGTAAATTATTTACAGTGTTATAAATACAAGTACTTATAATTAAATTTGAATTATCATTCATCATGTTCAGTTTTGAAGGGGTTGGATGCA